TTTTGCCTAGCCATCATTAGCGATAATATATGTCTACATACAACACCATTAGTTTCAAACAAAGCACAAGTACAAATGAATTGCATCTTACTGGATTGTTCATAAGTAACCACCTCCCATTTTCCTCTATCCGCAAACTTACAAATCTTGTATTCAACAATGTCCCCATCTTTTCTCAATTCTTCACAAAACTCTATACCAAATCCTTTGAATTCAGTTTGGAACACATGAAACATGTTGCGTGTATACATTTCTCCAGCTTGGACCTCAATCGGATGTCCAAGGAGCATGACAGACTTTGTGTTAAGACTCTTAAAATCTTCATGTGCTTCACTTAAGAGACGATGAGTTAATGCTTTTTCATATTGTATCACAAACTCGTGTAATTGAGTCTGTGAGTTAACATACTCATCAAAAAATGCATTAATACTTTCACTTCTTTGGCTCGATCTCATTCCAGCAAAAAAAGTGTCCTTCAAATAACATGACACCCAATGTTCTCGATATTTGTAAACAGTTTGTAACCATCCATCCCCTTCTTCATTTATATCAAACTTCTCCTTCATCTCTAGGCAATATCCTTCACACTGTTCAATTGAAGAACTATTACACCATAAGCCCCAATACCTTTGAAACTGTTCACCATAACGAGAAACCAAAATAGGCAAATGATCAGTAATGTGCTTATGCATGTGCCAAAAGCAATAACGATGTCTTGTCAGTGGAAACACAGAGTGAATAGCATTACACATGGCTCTATCCTGATCTGTTATAATAGCACCTGGTTCAACCTCATGCATACATTTCAGCCATTCTTCAAATAACCACACAAAGGTATCTTCTTGTTCATCAGCTAATAATGCACAACCAAGTAAAGTGGACTGTCTATGATGATTCACACTAGTAAATTGAGCAAATGGAAGACTGAACTTATTAGTTCTGTATGTCACATCAAACACAACAACATCACTGAATTGCAAATAAGACGCTCTTGATCTTCCGTTAGCCCAGAAAACACTCCTCATTTGTCCACTACTGTCCACTTCTATTGCAAAATAGAATTCTGGATCATTCGCTGTCATACTCTGAAAATGTTTTATGATAGATATGCATTCATGGACAATATTGTTGACTCTCTGGTATCTGATGTGATCAATACACTATTGTGGTGTCACTAATTTGCCTTCTCTTCCAGTGGTTGCGTTAATGACGCGAGAAATAGTGGATGGACGCATACCTTCTTCTTGCAGACTCTCAATAAGTTTTTTTACAACTTTGAGATTTATGGAATTGTTGGTGTGATCTGTGCATTTTTGCTTTGTCTGGACCACTCAACACATGATTTGTATGTTCTTCAACAAACCCCGTGACCTCCAACGATTTGTCCTCCAATACTTTAACTCTCATCATTGACTTACATCCCACTCAGGTCTCTCGCCAAAAAGGCATCTCCATCTTGTCTCTATTAGATCTATAACCCTCCTTATCATAAACAAACTTTCTGTCCAGCACGTCTCTTGTCTTCTTCAAGTAATTTACCGTGCTCTTCCTTATTCCAAAACCCATCAACAATGCGTAATGGTTATAATAGTTATAAGCCTCTTCCTTATTCCAAAACCCATCAACAATGCGTAATGGTTATAATAGTTATAAGCTTCTTCATAAGTATTAAATTTCATTCCGAGTAGTGGCTTAGGAGCATTTTCTGTACTGGCAAGAATTTTAATTCCACTAGCACTTGATTCTCCCATTTCGAACACTTTTTTTGCTGTAAAAGAGATGCATGGATTCATCAAGAAACAACTATAAAATACCCAAATATCAACTTCAGTTTAAACTCTCAAAACAATCTAGTGTAAATCTACTATAGTCATCAGCATATAAAATGACTTAAATGCCCGTGAATAAAATGCCTCGGCCGCGGCGGCTATGAATAAAATTTCATAATAGGTTTAGGGATTTATTAATTCAATTATTGTTAATTAATTTAGTTTAATTTGTTAATTAGAATTATAATCTGACAAAGGCTAAACTTTCTGTAGAGATAATTTTCTAGTGTAGGAGGTGAATACTTAAGAGATTAAAAAAGAAAGAAAAAATTCCTAGCACATTTTGATACTGATGCATGAACTTGCTAATACCCAGAGTTTGTAAACGAATTGAGGTCTGAGAGAGGAGCTCACGCAGAGGAGGAGCAGCTCAAGGAGGGATTCGTGGCGGGCCTCTGGAATTCTTGGAGGAGGAGCTCGTGGCTGAGGTCTGAGAGAGGAGCTCACGCGGAGGAGGAGCAGCTCAAGGCGGGATTCGTGGTGGTGCGGTGCTTGGTGGGTGGCGGTGGTGGATAGGGTCACGACCGATGGCGTGAGAAGGGCTGGATCTCGTGGTGGTGTCGTCGGTCTGGGGCACGAGCATCGTGGGGAGGAAGAGGAATGAGAAGGGCTAGATCTCGTGGCGGTGCCGTCGGTCTGGGGTCACGAGCGTCGGAGTGAGAGAGAGGGGGAGATCGTCGTGGGGAGGAAGAGGGATCTGAGAGATTTGGGGATCTGATTTCTTTTGGGGTGAGAAAGAGATAGAGTTGTGGCCAGGTCTACCAATTTAACTACCTGAAGGTCTCAATTTTAGTACTTTGGGATTGAAGCTAGTTACATGAATTTCTTTTTCCTACTTTGACTTGAGAATTGGATAGGATGGCTATCCTTGACTTGTGACGCTTGTGATCGTAAATAAATTTTGAAATGTGATTTTGTTGAGAGTTTTGGAAATTAATTTGTTAAGTCCCGATGAAAAGTATTTGTTTTGTGATATGTTTGATATTGGTTAAAGGATTGATGAGGGGGTGATCCCTACTCTATTTGGCTTCCACTCCTCCTATTTTCTTTATTGTCTATTTTCTTGAGGACAAGCAAAAGTCTAAGCTTGGGGGAGTTGATAAACACGTAAAATATGCATTATCTTAGTGTGTTTCAAGCATGATTTACGAGTGTTTAATGCATATTTCGTGTTTAGATCGAGGATACTACTGTAGTTTGTGTTCTTATATGTAGGTATTGGCTCAAGATTGAAAGATTTGATGATCGTTGGAAGTTATACAAGAGTTTGAAGCAACAACAAGATTTCGAAGGCATAGTTCGTGAAGAAAATGAATGCACGAGTATGAAAAATTGGAAATTCAACCATGATTCAGTTTGAATCAATAAAAACTCAAAAGATGAAAGTTGTAGATCTCTTCAACAGATTTCCAATGCAACTTGAATTACCTCATTCCAAGGTCGAACACAAAAGTTATAGCCAAAATACCGAAAACTAAACAAAGAAGCACAAAATCAGCAAAACAGCCCCTACCACTCCCTGGTGTGGTGCAGACCACACCTGTGGCGCGGGAATTAGTTATTTTCTAGATTTTTGGGGATATATAAATAGTTGTTTTGATTTAGGGTTTTGGATATCTTTAGTTATGCTCTCTTAGCCATCAATTAGCAATTATTTTGGAGTTCAAGTATTGAAGAAAGACACTAATTTCTTGTACAAGATTGGATTGCAAGTTTTGATTTTGAAGATCTCAATTGAAAGACGGTTTAATTCTTTTCTCTCTTTGATTTATTTCTTCTTATGATTGATTTGCATAATTATTTAATGTATTCTCTTATCCCAATCATGTGTGAGTAGTTTTCTTATCTAGGATTGGGAAAGAACCTAACTTTTTGGTGATTGATGATAAATTGATATAGGTTCTTGGTGAAAGTTTAAATCTTTAAACTTGAATTCTAGTGTTTTAATTTTGTTTATTCGCTTGATCACCGTATTAGCAATCATAGGTAATTAATTGAAGGACTGAAAGGTGAAGATTAATACCGGATCTCTAGAAATTAAACAGGGAGCTCGAACCACGAAAGTAGGCTAGATTCCTTGGGGATTTGATTTGGATTAGCATAAAGCTTAATGGGTTTAACTTAATCTTAATTTCACGAAAGTAGGTTAATATAGATTAATTAGGCACAGTATTTAGACCTTGAAAGAGGTTTTAGATTAATTTAGGCTAATTCACCCTTTTTAGTTTAAACCAACACCGAGAATTGAAATAATTCATCATTGAGCATCGAAGTTGTGGTGATAACCCAATCCTGGCTCTTCATTATATTGAATTTCCACCTGATTAGTTATTATTTTATTTCTTTTAATTCTCATCTCTTCTAATTACTCATTAGTTTAGCTAGTCGAATAACGTGAGATTTGGTAATTAACCCTAGTCCATGTGGGATCGACCTTGATAGCTACAACGAGTCTGTGCACTTGTAGATTTTGCCTACCAAGTTTTTGGCGCCGTTGTTGGGGACTACGGTGTTAATATTGAGTTCTTACATTATTAAGCTAGACTAGATTTTATTTTATTTTATTTTTATTATCTTCGCTACTCACTTTCTTTTATGCAAGGGCATCAAACAGAAGTACACAACGAAAACAATCCTGAATTATCGGTGACTCTTGCAGAGATAAGAAGGTATATAAGGGAGCAAAGGAACACAGAACAAGCTACAATGGGTGATCAGAATCAGCTTCTTAAGGATTTCGCTGCCCCAAATGCTCAAGGAACGCATTCGAATATTACAAGGCTCACTGTTGAAGCTAATAATTTTGAGCTTAAACCATCACTGCTCTCAATGGTTCAGCAAAATCAGTTTGGAGGAGGTGCTACTGAAGATCCGAATCTCCACCTGTCGATTTTCTTGAAATATTGCGACACATTGAAGCTTAATGGAGTGACCAATGATGCTATTCGACTCAGATTATTTCCATTCTCTTTAAAGGACAAGGCTAGGGCTTGGTTGCACTCATTGCCCGCTGGGTCCATCACCACTTGGGATCAGTTGTCCAGGGCGTTTCTTGCAAAGTATTTTCCCCCAAGTAAAACAGCACAAATGAGGAACCGAATCACAAGCTTTGTACAGAAGGAAGGAGAGTCACTCTATGAAGCTTGGGAATGATACAAGGAATTATTAAGGATGTGCCCTCACCATGGACTGGAGAAGTGGTTAATTGTTCACACCTTCTACAACGGGCTCACTTATAACACTCGGATGACTGTTGATGCTGTTGCAGGAGGAGCTTTGATGAGCAAAACAATAGATGAGTCATACACTCTCATTGAAGACATGGCTCAAAATCACTATCAATGGGCGAACGAGCGGGCTCAGACATCAAAAGGTGGCAAGTATGAAATAGATGCTTTAGATCATATATCCTCTAAAGTTGATGCTTTATTTAAAAAGGTTGAAAGCTTGAGTATTAATTCTGTGGCGCCTACTTCAATTGCATGTGAGATATGCGGTTATGTGGGTCATTCTGCACTTGAATGTCAATTAGGAAACCCCTCATCCCTTAATACTTCTGATAATGAACATGTTAACTATGTTAATAACTTTAATCAAAAGGGAGACCCTTTCTCCAATACTTATAATCCGGGGTGGAGGAATCATCCTAATTTTTCTTATAGAAACCCACTTGGAAATTCCATGACCGCATCTAATTTTGGTCCACCTGGTTTTCGTGCTCCCCAATCTAATCTCCCTCCCCAAAGGTCTAATTTGGAAAATATGATGGAAAAGTTTGTGATGACTCAGTCAAAATTGAATGAAGAATTTAAACAACAACAACAAACCACGAATGAGGTAGTAAAACAATTGGCCTCTAAGATGGATTCCCTAGCTACGCATAACAAGATGTTAGAGACACAAATCACTCAATTGGCGCAAAATGCTAGCTCTTCCTCTAGGGCTTCAAGCATGCTACCTGGACAACCTGAGACGAATCCCAGAGGTCATGTGAATGCTATAACCCTTAGGAGTGGAAAACAATATGAGGGACCTAAGATGAAGGAAAATGATGGGATGGATGGTCATGATGAAGAGAAAACTAAAATTGTGATAGATGTGGATAATGAGACCCAAATGCAAGAAAAAGAAAAAGTTGAGAAATATGTGTCTCCCGCTCCTTACAAGCCTCCTCTACCCTTTCCACAAAGGTTAGCTAAGGCTAAGTTAGAAAAGCAGTTTGGAAAATTTTTTAAGATTTTAAAAAAGTTGCACATCAATATCCCGTTCACTGAAGCTATCTCTTAAATGCCTTCTTATGCTAAGTTCTTGAAAGAGATCCTATCTAACAAAAGAAAGTTGAAAGAATACGAGACAGTGGCCCTTACTGAGGAGTGTAGTGCTATCATCCAGAATAAGTTGCCTCCTAAGCTTAAGGATCCAGGTTCATTTTCTATTCCTTGTGTTATTGGTAATGTCTCTATTAACCGTGCTTTGTGTGATTTAGGTGCAAGCGTAAGTTTGATGCCGATGTCTATTTGTAAGAAGCTTGGCATAGGTGATTTCAAGCCATTCACGATATCACTCCAATTGACGGATCGATCGGTAAAATATCCGGTAGGTATACTTGAAGATGTACCTATCCAGGTCGGTAAGTTCTTTATCCCGGTTGATTTTGTTATTTTGGAAATAGAAAAAGATTCTAACATTCCAATTATATTAGGAAGACCCTTCCTTGCTACTGCAGGTGCTATAATTGATGTTAAAAATGAAAGGCTCTCTCTAAATATTGGAGAGGAGACAGTAGAATTTGATTTAAGCAATACTATGAAACTTCTTCTAACTGATAAAATTTGTTACAGGGTCGACGTCATTGACAAGTGTACATATGAGCAAATTGCAAACAATAACTCAGCTGATCCACTTGAGAAATGTTTGGTAAGTGATTGTTCAATAAATGATGAAGACCCCAAGGTAGCCGCGTATGCTCAATCTCTAGAATCAACATCAACGGCTCCACTTCGAAATGCAAAGCTTGAAAGATTGATGCTAGAGCCAAAAGGATCTATTTGTGAAAAGGATAATGTGCCAAAGGTAGAATTAAAACCCCTTCCTTCCTCTTTAAGGTATGAATTTCTTGGCCCTGACTCTAGTTATCCTGTGATTGTGAATGCATGTCTAAATGAAAATAAAACTGATAAGTTGCTTAGAACACTTAGGGTGCATCGCAAGGTCATAGGATACACCATGGACGACATTAAGGGAATCAACAAATCGATTTGCATGCATAGAATTCTCTTGGAAGATGATCATAAACCCTCAATAGAGCACCAACGTAGATTAAATCCTAACATGAAGGAAGTGGTTAAAAAAGAGGTGCTTAAGCTACTAGATGCTGGTGTAATCTATCCTATTTCAGATAGTGAATGGGTTAGCCCGGTTCATGTGGTTCCAAAAAAAGGGGGTATGATCGTAGTTAAGAATGTGAATAACGAACTTATCCCTACTAGGACGGTCACGGGTTGGAGGATGTGTATTGATTATAGAAAATTAAACAAGACAACCCGAAAAGATCATTTTCCACTTCCCTTTATAGACCAGATGTTGGAAAGGTTGGCTAGGCATTCCTATTTTTGTTATTTAGATGGCTATTCGGGATTTTTCCAAATCCCTATTCATCCTAGTGACCAAGAAAAGACCACTTTTACATGTCCCTATGGGACCTTTGCTTATAGGCGCATGCCTTTCGGTCTTTGTAATGCCCCCGCCACTTTTCAACGATGTATGATGGCTATTTTCTCTGATTTTATAGAATACATTATGGACGTGTTTATGGATGACTTCTCTGTGTACGGAACTACTTTTGATGGTTGTTTAGCTAACTTGTCTCGAGTTTTGCAGCGTTGCGAAGAAGTTAATTTAGTCCTAAATTGGGAGAAATGCCATTTTATGGTAAGGGATGGAATAGTTCTAGGACACAATGTGTCTGAGCAAGGAATTGAAGTTGATCGAGCAAAAGTGGAAATTATTGAAAAATTACTGTCACCAATGTCGGTTAAGGGAGTAAGAAGTTTCTAGGGACATGCCGGTTTCTATCGGCATTTCATCAAAGACTTTTCAAAAATTGCAAAACCCTTAACTAAACTTCTTCTTAAAGATGCTCCCTATGATTTCAATGATGAATGTCTTGATGCTTTTTGTAGGTTGAAGGAAGCATTGATAACAGCTCTTATTATGCAACCGCCGGATTGGAATCTCTCATTTGGAGTCATGACTGATGCAAGTGATTACGCGGTTGGTGCTGTGTTAGGTCAAAGAAAGGACAAGATTGTTCATGCAATTTATTATGCTAGTCATACTCCTGATGAAGCCCAAGTTAACTATGCTACCACTGAAAAGGAGTTATTAGCAGTTGTTTTCGCCTTTGACAAGTTCAGGTCTTACTTAGTAGGGTCCAAAGTCATTGTGTATACCGACCACTCCGCCATCAAATATCTTTTGAGCAAGCAAGATGCCAAACCTAGGTTGATTCGATGGAAACTTCTTTTACAAGAGTTTGACCTAGAGATAAAGGATAAGAAAGAGACAGAAAATTTGGTGGCAGACCATTTGTCGAGGATGAAACAAGAATCACATGATAAGGAGGATGAACTACCGATCGACGACTCTTTCCAAGATGATCAGTAGCCATAGAAAGATTGGATGCACCATGGTATGCGGACTTCGTCAACTACATAGTGTGTGGAGTTTTGCCTCCAGATCTGAGTTATCAACAGAAGAAGAAGTTCTTTGTTGACTTGAAGTATTATTTTTGGGATGAACCATTTCTATACATACGTCTCCAAATGGGTAGAAGCGATAGCATCCTCCACCAACGATGCTAAAGTTGTTGTGAAACTATTCAAGAACGTTATTTTTCCAAGATTTGGGGTGCCACGGACGGTAATCAGTGATGGAGGCTCACACTTCATTGAAAGAAAATTTGAAGCTCTTTTAAGACAATATGGGGTCACTCATAAAGTTGCCACGCCATATCATCCTCAAACTAGTGGTCAAGTGGAAGTTTCGAATCGTGAAATTAAGAGTATTTTAGAGAAAATAGTTAATCGTTCAAGAAAGGATTGGTCTATGAAACTCACGGATGCCTTATGGGCCTATCGAACTACCTATAAAAAACCCATAGGTATGACACCGTTCAAATTGGTATATGGAAAATCGTGTCACCTCCCAGTTGAGCTAGAGCACAAGGCATATTGGGCTATCAAACTCCTCAATTTTGATATGAAGACCGCAGGTGAGAGAAGAAAGCTTCAACTTCATGAGCTAGATGAGCTGCGTTTGGATTCGTATGAGAATGCTCGCATTTATAAAGAAAGGACTAAACAATGGCACGACAAGAATATTCTTCGAAGAGAGTTTAATCAAGGAGATATGGTGCTACTTTTCAACTCTCGTTTGAAGATTTTTCCGGGCAAGCTCAAATCTCGGTGGTTCGGACCTTTTCAAGTCCGTGTGGTTTTTCCTAGTGGAGTTGTTGAAGTTTGGAGTGAAACAACAGGATCTTTTAAGGTGAATGGGCAACGATTGAAGCACTACATTGTAGGGGAACAACACGAGAAAGGGGTCACTTATACCCTTTCTGATCCCCCTTCGTCGGATAATTGAGCGCAAAAAGGGGTCGAGCTCATGACCATAAACGAGCGCTTCTTGGGAGGCAATCCAAGTTTTCATCCATTTTTTTATTTCATTTAATTTTTATTTTTTTAATTTTTTTAGGCAATTGAATCGGCACAAATTTAACTTAAAATATTTTTGATCATGCAGTTGTGAAGAAAGGAAGACAATGAAAAAAAACTGCAGAAAAAGGAGTTAAAGATGGAGTGGCAGAGCCTACCACACCCAGGGGTGGTGTACGCCACCCCCACGGTAAAAAAATTCTAGACTCTACCACACCCTTCTGCCACACCCGTGGTTCGCTGTAGAGATAGTTGGACACCAAAATCCAGTGCGTACCACACCCGTTCGTCACACCTGTGGTTCGCTAGGTTAAAAAGAAGAAAAAAAACGGAAAAATCCCTCAAAAACCCCACCCCTCTTCTTCGACCTAACCAGCCCAAATCACCGCCGCCCCCATACTTCATCCCCTCCGACCACATCGTCCACCACCCCCATCCTTCGTTCTCAACACCGCAACCGACCACAGCGCTTCCGTTCCCTTTTTTTTTCTTCCCCTCCATCACCGGCATCTTTCCCCTATATCAACCAGCAATTGATCCACCTGCCACCTCCACTCTTCGCACCCCCAGCAGCCTGCGCCACCTCCACATCCAAAACGCGGCCACCTCCACATTCCAAACCCCCCCATCCCACTCTCGCATCAGCAAACCAGGCCGCAACCGTCATTGAATCAGTGACCCGCCGCTTCTCCTCCTTAACATAATCTACCTCTCCGATCAGCAACCATCCGCACACCTCTCACCACCGTGACCATTCTCCTCACCGGTCGGCCATTTCGACACCATCAGACCAGCCCGTCCGGCCCCTCTCCGACCTAACAAACCGCATTCATCTCTGACCAATGTGACCGCCTCCACCTCCTCTCTCCGACCAGACCATCAACCTCCGCCGCTCATCACCACCAACCGCCCGTTTCTTCATCTCCCCGACTTCGACTACGCCATCATCTTCGACCGCCGACCGGCTCCTCTCATCATCGCGGAGGTGGTTCTTGGCATTGAAGCTATACACGAAAGCAATTATGTTCACAGAGATTTTGGATTGTGCAAGCTTTTAGATTTTGGATTGTGCAAGAATTTGGATTGTAATAATGAAAGGGATGATGGCACTACACAAACAGTGAACCGTGAGGGGATTTTTTAGACTGATGTGTAGCAATTTATGGAGATAGATGCACAAGCCGAACAGTTAGGGCTTTAGAGAAAGAATCCACGAACTTTGGCTTATTCATCTGTCGCCACCCCCGACTATATTGCACCTAAAAATTTATCAAAGAAGGGGTATGGAATGGAATGTGATTGGTGGTCACTTGGAGCTATTATGTATGAAATGCTCATGGGTTATCCTCCATTTCAGTCTAAGGAAGCTCTGGCAACATGCAGAAAGTTAGTAAATTAGCAATCACATTTGAAATTTCCCGAATACTTGACAATATCTGAGGAAGCTAAAGACCTTATTCAAAGATTGTTGTGTGACGTTGAGCGTAGGATTGGCACAGGAAATGTTGAGGAAATAAAGACTCATCCTTGGTTTGAAGGCATTCAATGGGATAAATTGTATCAGATAGAGGC